GGGACCGCCCTCTCGCCATAGAACTCCAGTGAAGCTGGGCTTCCGATGGGCGGGACAAAGCCCAGCATGGGCTCTTTTTTATCCAATGAGCGTCTAGTTTCGCTGCTGGAACAACCCACTTTAAGCTTCCACATTGAAGTCAGCAGAAGCCCAGCGTCCGACTGTTTGAAGCGCTGAGGCGCTGCGAGGATGAATGAGAACGAAGTTATGCCGGTTACCTGTGATTATCAGCTTCTTATCACAGTGTCTGAACAAAAGTTGAAGGCTTTCTAGCGCGTATTTAGTTAATGAAATGTACACACAGCAGTACGTATTTCGACACTTTTTCTTTTTTTGGGGGGATGACATTTTAAGGGAGGCCGAGCTTCCCTTGCAGTCTTAGAGCAATCGCCACTGTCTTTTAGACTGGAGCATTAACTCTGAAAACTCTATCCTGTGACCGCAAAGGAGCTGTGAAATTATATGCAGCTCATGGCCTTGGGAGTACCAGTAAACTTGCGTCTTGTAAACTTGTCAGCCAAGTATCCTGATACCAATGGCTTAGCCTAAGACTTTTGAGTTTATGCTTTTTGGTTGTGGAAAAGCAAACTACTTTTGCACTAATTATTGATGTTAGAAGAGCCCAATAAACACTTGAGAGTGTTGAAGACCTGGCTTGACAGGCCTGCGTATGGAACGACAACGTGGCTCGGCAGAGCACAGCTTAGCAGGGTGAAAATAAACTGATATCAGCACAGGAAGGGAAGAAAACACAAAAGGCAAGTTGAAACGCTCAAAATAAAGATAAATATTCTGTAAACCACCAGACGTTGATTAACGTGGATGCTTTTCAATCTTCCTGGCTCTAATCGGTCTGCAGTGGGTTGGGCGAATCCAAAATGATTAAGACACGAGGGATGTTCTAAGACAGGCTGTTACCTGTGTAACAGGGGTACTCTGAAAACCCCTCCATTAACACTTGGGGCTCTATTTTGTGTGCCTTGCTGGCGTCGTGGCGCAGGCCCAGCGTAAGTCAGGTCAGCCACGCCAATAAGGCGTGTCCAATTTGCGGCGCAACCCGGCGTAAGTATCCCTCCTCCCTAAATCAGCTTCTACCAGTGGCGTAAGTCGTAGAGAGGGAGAAGAGAAGGTGTGGAGTGGGTTTAACACAGCCGAGAACTGTTTTCACCAATCACATCAGCTCCTAATACGCCTCGCCGGTGGTGTATTACAATTTTCATGAAGTAGTCAGAGAGATCAAGGGATGTCTGAAGACAGCAATGCCACACAATGGCGACAAAAGGCAGCTCCTCAACAAGTGTCGCTGTAAGTTCTGCAGAGGGCGTCCTCCACACTGTCTCAAATAAGCACAGAGGGATTTGGTGTGTGTAATGTAGTACCCACTGGTACAACCTGCACAGATCACAACATACATTCTAATAATGGCATTAAAATCAGAACCATCTGTGCGTAAAGGACGCATTGCGCTCCCTGGCCTGGCTCTTTCTTTCATTGATGTTAGCATATAAAATTAATTTGGCTCATAAAACTGAATATTATAATATTCGTATGTAGGCTTAAAGTAAATAACTCATCTGATCACTAAAATAAATCATCTGTTCAGCCGCCGCAGCAGCAGGACAGGGATAGGACACGGAGACATGTCCAGGTCGAGCACGAAAATAGAGCTCTTGGTACGTTTTTCCTGATGAAATTAACCATAGACTGTAAATTGACACGGAAAAAATCAAGTCGACCAATCAGAAATTTGATCGACTCAGCACATATCGACTATTAAGTCGACCATCTACTAGGACTTTAAAGCACTCATATTGATATTCCATTTTATCCCATCCATAAAATAGAAAGGTGATTAACACAGAGTGCTCCTTCTTCCCATGTTGGTTTCTGCTCTCTGCAGTCTGTTGGACATCCTGCTGACACTATTTTAGCCCCTTTCACAAGGGTGTGCTGACCACAGTCTGCCTTTGTAGTTTGTATACTAAATGCACAGCAGAGAGGGATCCCTTTTGGGCCCGTGGTTTCCTGAAACAAGCCATCTGCAACTGCTCTGCTCTCTACATGGCCCGAGGAGAGAGGATAGACACAAATAAAGTGGATTCATATACTGCATGGACCTCAACAAAGAATTCATTCATTTTGTTGTCCTGCTGTGGACAAAATTACTTCGACCCATAAAACCCTTTTATGGGCTCCACTCATGGCAATTAGTAACAACTTTGATGTTTGAGAAAGTCCTTCCTTCAGATATATGCCTGTTTTAAGATGCATATAAGGTTGACGGGGTCAGGTTTTTGGTTTTACTCGTGTTTTCCTGTTTTCTCTTTTTCTTTCCATCCATTTAACCTAAAGAGTCTCATGCAACAACAACTCATGTCTAAAGGAAACAGTTAAATGTAGCTCACTTGCTTGGATTTTGATGTTTTAGTGAGAGGACTATAGGAAAGTCTAAAAGTGAGAGCAAAACAGGAGGATACTTTATCAGGCAGTACAGGTGCAATTACTCTCCCCAGGATTTCAAATACAAATGAACTGAATGAGACTGACGACTTTAATGGCGCAGCACTAAATGAAAAATACACTAATATACTGAATGGTGAGCGGTGTAATGTTTCATTTATAACGAAAGCTGACATCTTCAAACAATAATAAATACTGCACGTAAAATCACATTAAAGTTTCATGCAGCTGTACACTGCCCAAAGGCGAAGCAGCAGCATATTTACCAGCCAATTCATGTATATGCCATACCATGACTTGTAGTCCCATTATTTTTAATGCTCTACCATTAAATCAAAAACACATAAGCTTGATAGGAATCATGGAAAGACTACAGACAGTAAAAGCACCGTATATAATCCAGTATGATGGATTGCATGTTTATTGTGTTAAACTTCACAGGATGGTATAAAAAGCACCCTCATGCAGACTTTAGTTACCCTTTGAAACGAAACAGTAAATGGTAAGGGTAAAGCACATCCCTTTGATTTAGTCATGTGAGACTTCACATAAGCTCAAATGTAGCATACATAATAAGCAACGGCACCTCAAGTTCTCCTATATGCATCAATTCCAAAATCTGTTGAAAATATCTTGTGCATTTATGAGAGGTCTTTCTATTCTGGCAGAGCCGAAAGAGCTGGCATCAGTTAACAAAGTTTGATGAGAATGGAAGTTACAGTTTCGACTCAGTTTACATTTCAGGAAACAATTGCAATAATACAATTGTTTGTCAGACCTAAGGGTCTCACTATATAATCATTTGAAAAACCACAGTACAGTGACTCCAACCATGAATCCCAAATAAAAAACCCTGTCATTTTATAGTACTAAACTTGAAAATACCTCAAAACCACAACAAAACAATCCAAACCCACCCACTGACTTTGTGCTGTATAACAGAGCGAGTCTGCAGCCAAATTCTTTCAGCATCATTGAAATCAGGGAGTATTTCTGTAAAGCTAGCATATAATTGTATCAAATTAAAATGACAGAAGCATAAAAATGTCATCCCTGAATTTGAAGTTAGCTTTCCAAGAAAGCCTCTTTTATTAAAAGGCGCTATATTTGATCGTTTTGGATTTGCTTGCCAAGTCAGCAGTGTCGAAGAGGCCTGTGCTGGTGAAGGAACAGCATCAGAGTCTTAATAAAGCACAGTTCATCAACTTTATACACTATTTGTGGCAACCCCTTTGGATCAACCAGGGACAATCAACATGCATTTTATCTGCTACATCGTGCACGATGGGGTAGTAGGGTCACTGAATAGAAGAAAACATTTACATTTCACGATTAAGGACATGAGATTATGACATTCAAGTTGAAAAATTATAAGAGAAAAAGTCTTGATATTTTTTGTCTATGATTATCCTGTGAGGTATAAGAAAGGGAAAGATCAGAAGAGGAGCCTGCCCCCTGAACTGCAATGAAGAATGAGGGGAATCTTGTGAAATTAAATGTAAGTACTGTATATGTTTCATAAATCTGAATGCCAAGTCACTAAGCACATCAGCACAGCAAATCCATGTCTTAAGTCTGTCATAGCTATGGGCTGTAGGTACAGTACAGCAGGAAAGACCAGACTGACCTCTTATACTTATATGTATACAGATCTTATTTAGCAAACCCCTCCTAAGCCTGCCTTACAGGGACAGAACCATAAAGACCAGCCTTTCCTCCTGCACACCGACCAGGGGTGAGTTGGGGTTACATGGTTTTAAGTTTAGGTAGTTTGCTAGATTAAAGGGATATTCCGGCGTAAAATTAAGTAAGGGTCAAACACACTGTAGTACCGAGTTAGACACCCCCTGGAGAGATAGATGTTGCCGACCGCTTGCTTCTCTAGTTATACCAACTTTAGTAACGACCGCATGATAGCAACACACAACAGTCTATGGCTCCACACCTGAACCAAAACGCCACTCTAAAACCACAAATAATGCTCAGAACAGCACCTAACTTCAGCAACAGTACATATAGGGTCCCAGCCATAGCTCTAGCCACCAAACACCTTTTTAGCTTTGCCTGATTTCTTTAGCAAAGAGACTAAACACAAATCACCCACTCTCTTCCAGCAGCCGCTTGTTTGTACAGAGACCTCAGACAAGTCCATCACCGACTGCAGCAGGGTGACGTGGCTCAAGGAAGAACATTTTTGATCATTACTTTAACATTTCCTTGAAGTAATAATCACCATATTAATCATTTTGCAGTGCAGACGCGGAAGTTCTTCTGCCTCAGTGTCTCGGTCTGATTGCATTTCCATGAAGAAATGATTATAAATGTTCTTCCTTGAGCTGTGTCACCCCGCTGCAGTCGGTGATGGACTCGTCCAAGGTCTCCCTACAAACAAGCACCTGCTGGAAGAGAGTGGGTGAGTTCTGTTCAGGCTCTTTGTTAAAGAAATCAGAAAAAGCTAAGAAGATGTGTAGTGGACCCTTTATGTACTGTTGAAGAAGTTAGGTGCTGTTCTGAGCATTATTTGTGGCTATAGAGTGGCTTTTGCGCGTGGATCCATAGACTGCTATGTATTGCTATCCGCGGTCATTACTAAAGTTGGTATTACTACAGAAGCAAGCGGTCGGCAACATTCATCTCTCAAGGGGGTGTCTAAGTTGGTGTCACAATGTGTTTGACCCTTCAAATTTTGCACACATATACATGTATTATATCATCTAAGAAAGATGGCTATTTTTTAATGTTGGTCAATTGTGTGACCACCAGAGCAGGCCTTTGACAGGAGGCCACCGAAGGGGCTGTGGTCCTACATGGTTGACTGAACAATACCCTATAAAACCAGCATAAGGAACAGTTCAGGATATTTCTCAACAAGCTCAATATAAATGAACCTCCCAAAACAGAGCCCTGGTGAGTACTGCAGACCAGCAGCTTTTTCCCTGGAATGGCAAACCCCCTCAACTTACACGCACAGATCCCAAGTGGCTTCACAAGGACTGGGCCATCAAATGAGCAACAGATGATCCTAATTACATCATTTCCATCTCATTAGTTTAAAGCTTTTAACCTGACAATTCCTTCAGTTTTTGTTTTAATCTGATAAGGCAGCCACAGAGTGCCCTGCAGGGTGAAGGCTAGTTAGGAGCTAGCCCAAGGTTCCACCTAAGATTGGAGCTTGCTGTGTTTTCTCGAGAATTTAAAACACGTTAGTTGAGTCTGCCTGGGTCTGGTGAGGGGAAGAACTCCACTTTTTATTTTGACACTGGCACTGCTCAGATTACAGCTTTCAGATGTTCATTTAAAGCCTCTTTCACAGATTTGTTTCCACACACTTCTGATGGAACAGCTCTGAGAAGGCTTTTCACTAAGACCATGGATTCAGCAAATAGCCATGTGTTGTAAACCTGTGTCTGTCTGAATCTTTTCAATCTGGTTATCATACACACGTAATGTCTCTGTTACTAAAATGTCAAAATAAACCCTTTATAATAATTGTTGTCTGTGATCTCTTTACATACTGTATCCAAGCCTGCAAAAGCACAACAATTGTGATTTACCCCCCAGAGATCTAACAATGCAAAACTGAAAGACAATCACTTTTTTTAAACAAAAAACAAAAAATTGAGGAGAATGAGTGCTGCCAGATGAAACCACATATTTAATTCCTTGTGTTATTGTTTTGCTGAACTGCAATCAGCGAGACAGACCAAGTATTTTCCATACAGGCTCCATGTGGGGCTGCAGACACTAACATCAATCTCCTTTTTTCTTTCCTATCTGGTTGTTATAAAACTGCAGAAATCAACTGTGCAGTGACCTCTGACCCTGTAGCATCTGTTTTAGATGCTGAGATAAGCACTTTCATATACCACATGCTTTGATGGTAATGCAATATGACACCCTATTCTCCTCTGCAGATATAAAGATCCTTAATATAGAGCTGACAGATACAGACATGATGAATGATTGTATTATTCCTGAACGTCTTGCAGCTGAAAGTCTTTTAACACGAGATCCACCATATTACTCTAGTCTTGACTCTCTTACTGTCAGTCCATCCTGGGGAGCCTTGTCAGCTCAGGCCTTTAGCTGGGAAGCCATTTCCAGGGTTTTAATTAGTGTTTATAAGAGAGTCCGCCTGACCCTGATATGGGGTGGATGTGGAAACCCAGGGGAGCAGGGACCAGCACCCTCCCATCCTGCCAAATGAATAGAAATCAAATGGGAGATTACATCTTCAAACACAGCCATGTATCTTACTACACACAACCAAATCTAAAGGCAGGAGGAACTCTGTATACTCAACATATCCTTTCACAGGAATCATCACCCACCGCTTCCCCCTTACCCACCACCATCACCCCCCTCGCTTCTTGCCTCTTGGCAGGAGTGACGACACCACCGGCGAACAAATCGTTTCCAGCTCAGGTCACGTTCAGGATGTTTAATCTGAGGGGAGTCCAGATGTGCTCTGCAACATGCAAACGGCTCCTCTTCAGTTTATGAGACTCGTGAGCTTCTTGCACATGGAGGGTCTTCTTTTGTTCAATGAAAAGGGAGTGTGCAAATGTCACAATTAATATGTCTTCTTATTTTTCTGCTCATTATGACAAGTATTGGTAGGCTTGTTGGCTTAAGAGTACCTCTTTGATGGGTCTACTGACGGTATTTCCAAAGTCATACAAGAGTCACTACATGATGAATGACTGAAGAAAAAAGTATGCGTGCAAAGCAGAAGGGTGATACATTTGGGGGGAAAAAAGAGTCACAAAAAGTGTTAAAAGTTATCTAGTAGCAATTCAAAACAGTGTTGAACGTCTGTCAAAACACAGATAGGTTTTTTAAAAAGCTATAGGACATTTCGTTGATAAAATGCAAGTGCATTTGGAGTTTAAGCTGAGGTCAAATCTTCAAAGAGTAAGGATGCTAATCTCTATAAACACTAAAGCTTGCTGTGTTGTCATTCTCAGGGAGATAGTGTGTCTCTGTGTGTCTGGTGTCTCTATGTTTGTGTATGTTAGACAGCACAACAGAAATCTTCCAATGGCTGCGACTGTGAAAGCTGTGAACTGACCTGAGATGAGCTCATAAGTGGAGAGGAGCTGAGCCATATGGTGGGTCGCACTCAAACAAGATATTATGGAAAAACACGCCATTCAGGATTGAGAGCACCCGAGGGAAAAGAGCTGGCTGTGCCCCAACTAAGGGATGTGAATGTGCACAACAGAACACACACACACACATCTGCACACACTGTATGGAGGTTATGTTAAGTGCAACACAAAACTGTTATCAGAATTATAAGTGGAGATTGTAATGCCGGCAAAATGACATATAATTACCGTCATGTGGGGTTTATTACTTAGTTCCAAATGCAGAGCAATTCAAGCTGTACAAAGTCAGTCTTTATCTGAAAAGATCCCAAAGAAGTTACTACTACACTATGGAAATGTTTGATGATTTTTATAACAAAAAATGGCACCAAACACAATCCACAGATTTACCAAAGCTGTACATATTTTATCATGTTGGGATTGATTCTGGTTTGTCTGTTTGTCGTTCTTGGGTATTGGTGGTAATCCTCATTCAAAGCCACAAGAATAAAATAACACCAGACTAACTCCTATCATCTCCTTGTAAAAGCTGTTGCTTTGTCCCCTTTGACTCCTCTGACACACAGAAAGTTCTTTGGGAAACAAAATCTGCCAGAAAAAATGTGACTTTGTGAAGACACTGATTTACAGCCCAATCCCTCTACTTGTTTACTGTGGCTCCTTAGATGTATTTTAAGAATGTAGACCCATAACCGTATTTTAGCAGTTTGTCAGAAACTATTTATGTGACTTTCTTCTTGTCTTACCATGTAAAGGGTTAGTGCACTACAACTGGTATCATTGCACAGATTAAGTACAATAAAAAGTATGCCAACTAATAGAAAGGATGAAAAGCAGGCTGAAAAAGGGTGGAGCAAATTAAAAAGATGAATAAAGAATTTGATAACACGCACAGTCAAGGAAGACTGCTGCTTTCACATAAGCACGAAACTCCCAAAAACGTCCTGAAATTTCTTAAAAGGGGTGGTATGTGTGAACACAAACTTTACCTTGACTACAAGCCCTTCAGTAAACTAAAAAGTGGAAGATCTGACATTGGAAGGCTGCAGGAAGTACTTGAGGAAATTCACCATGAGTGATCACACGGATGATAACAAGTGACGACCTAAAAGAGAATATATAAAATCATATGTGTATTATATATTCACATGCCTACATATTTGCAGTTTAGCACCTGGCTTTTCTACTTTCACTGAAACACCATGTGGGACATTCGGTGGTCGATATGGAGAAAGAAAAAGGACCTGGATGCCGTTAGGCTGTTAACACATTTCTGTTGATTTAAAAAAAAAGGAGCAAAAACATAGATGAACGTCAGTTTCTGCCCAACACTGCTTGCTACTTATTGATGAAAACACCGAAACAACAATGTAACAAATGTCTTTTCTGCAATCTATCACAGGATATTTAACCTAATGCATTTCAGCAACAAATACGGTACACCAAACAATGAAATAATCAGATAACTTTATAGCCCAACTCCTCAGGAAACACAGTTTTACAGGATTATTTTGATAAGGTTTGTTTCTACTAAAAAAAGCATTGAGGGAGATCGGGAAGGCTTTGGAAAAAGGCTTTTAGGTGGTTCAGGCACCTGACTGAGATGCATGTTGGGCGCCCTCCATTAGACTGTAACTGGGAGCAGACCTTGTCGTAAGGTTTCCACATTCTACCTTGCATAGAAATGCAATGGGGCCCAGAAACCATAACTGGGCCGAGGGTATGTCTGGGGTACAATTATGAACCAACCCTGGGTAAGAAGTAGCCCTGGAGGATGTAGTCTCAAGCCACAGTCCCATTTGACTTTCCAGTTTTCTGATATAGATTTTAATTTGACCGGCTTAATGTGAACTTTCTTTCTGATTATATGGAGAACTTTTTTTTTACTAAAACACTCCAATAACAGCCAACTTTTACAATATCTGTAAACTAGAGAATTCTCAGCAAATAAAATATAGGAACAGCTTTGCATACTCCACCCGAGAGCCCTGCTACCAATAATGCTGCGGTTTCTGTGGCAACACTCCATGTTATCAATAAGTCCTTGGGAGATTATTCGGCAGACTAAATAGTCTAGTTTTGTTTAAAACACACTTGTACTCCTTTAGCTTTTTTCCCTTTCATTTGATATGTCTGGTTGCCTCATTGCCAGGAGGATGATCAGACTACATCTTTATATTCATCTACTCTACTCCTGCCCTCTGTAACAGCATGCAACACTTCAGTAAGTCTCACACATGACACGTTTGCTGCTCTGGAAACAGTTCATTTTAAGACAAATATTTGCGGGCACATACTGACCAAAACACAGCACTAGAAAGCAGGAAAACACAAAAAGGCATAGTTATGGGTGTTGTGAGTTTTGTTGAAACCAGACTAATCATGGACAGGACAAGTGTTGAAGAGACTCGATGAAACCATGCATGTCTTGCTTGTACCCTGTTGAAGACTCCTCGCCCCATCTGTTTGCAACCTTTAGACAGTTTGTTTTTTACACAAGACATTCTCAAGAGCTCTATGTGCTATTCTAGCATTATCAAACCCCTGCCAATCATCAAATCCTAAAACTTTTAGCAAAACTCCTCTTCCTCTGTTGTACATCAAGACAATGCAATCCAGGGACAGTTCAGTCGGCATGTTGCAGGCCTGTGTTTGCAAATATTACTCAAACCACAAGAAGGGGTTTAGATTACCACCATCTCAAAAACCTATTTGTGACAGATTGTTTGACACACAAAAATAGCCAGGAAACTTTTCAAAGCATAAAGAAAGCCCCCAAATCCCTCCTTGTTATTTCTTGAGGATGGTTATTGATGCCAGCAGTTGTCCTTGGGGGACACGTTTAAGTGTTTTTGCTGAACTCCAGCATGCTTCCCCCACTTGAGCAGTGCTGTATCTTGTTTTGTAATTAAGATGTTTTAATTAGGCTCATCCTTTCATGTCGGGGGGAAGCATAACCACAGTTGAGCCTCTTTCTGTGAGAGTGCCAAGGAGACACTGGATTTAAACTGTGCCAGAAGAGCTGTGGTCCACCAACCACAAACCACCAATGCATTTTTATCTGTCTGCAGCACTCAGAAAGAGCATCCTCAGTCAGGTCAAGAGCAGCACAATGAGCAGAGGGATGTCTTAAGCCCTTTCTTTGAGGTCATGCGCTGAAATTACAGCACACTTTACAGGAATCGGTTACTTGTCGTTCTTGGCTGTGTATGTGAACAAACATGCCTAAATTAATGGGCCACAGAGAGTGGAAAAGCACATAAGCCCTCTGACTCCTGGTGTAACACAACCAGGCTTAATTGAATAAACGGATGTCTTATGTGTAACGATATGGCAACCTTGGCCGGGGTTTCGCGTGTTGAGGATGTGTTGCTAATTCTTCCTTCCTGTTCTCGCTCAGGGTTACTGCATTGTGTTAGAACAGTTCCATCAGCAACATTTGGCTTTCACTACCTGAGCTGACACATGATTTGAGCTTAAGGTCAGCTGTGGAAGTCTCCCAAAGCCAGTACCCTCGCTGTGATGGAAGAATGAAAAGCAAACATTTTGTCCTGTTTTTTTCTCATGTATCTCACTTGCAGCAATCATTGGACGACACTTTGTGGACGCAAGAAAAAACAAGATATCTTGTCTCAGTGTAAGATACAGAAAAGAGCCTTTCGACATGTTGCTGTTCAGCAGAAAATGTATTGTCATCCAGGTCACGGTAGCTGTAGATCTGATTCACAAAAGGCAACAATAATAATTTTAAACATGAATTTATGTTTTTTTTTTTTTTTTACTTCGCAGCCCAAGTGTAGTGCACGATAGGCTCACACACAGCAGGTCTTGTTTGACAAGAAACACTTTAACAGACACTTGGCTTACTTTGTTAAAGCGGTTTACCTGTCCAGCAGAAAGGTTACAGGGTCGGTAAGATCCTGAAGCGTCCCTGAAGCGTTTATGCTTCACTGACGTTGACCCGGCTTTTTAGCTCTTGTCTGGTCTACCTCCTTTTTAAGCGCCCATTATTCCACAAGAATTTCCAGTATTTACCCGGTTTTCTTGCTTGTGTTGGCAGGTGTGGCCAAAGGAGGATTCAGACAATTTTCTGTACTTTCTGGCTGGTTTCTACTGTACGATATTGTAGCTCGCTAACTTTATCTGGGCTTGTGAACAGTATTGGAGGACATGGAGCGTGCCTCACAACAAGAGGGAGCAGCGTCTGCCAATCAGCCAATCAGCACAAAGGAGCAGCGACCGCCTCACAACCAATCAGGTTGAGGAGGCGGAGAACGGCTTTGTTTACAGTCAGAAAGAGTGGGCCGCTCAAAAGTTTTAAAATGTTGACTACACAGACATAACAAAACACAGCGATATCGTTATATCACCAAATGTCATCAATAACTTATAGCTATTGACTGATATTAAAAGCTTTTTGTATATACACCACAAAAAAATGCTTTTTCAACAGAATCCTGCCTACCCCACCTTAAAGTACCTCCCCTCTCTCCCTTGGTCTATTCTGTCTGTTCCCTCTGGCATCCACAGTAACTATCTCTATCCAAGTCTCTCAGTTTTTAGATTTGTTGTTCGCTTTTTTTAATCTCTTTCGGTCTGCAGAACTTAAAAACTGATCAGTGCACTGCAGATACAGGAATGTGTGTTACATCAAGAATAATTAAAAAACAAATGAGCTTTCTGACAGCAAAATAAAGCGCAAAACATCGTCCAGTTAGAGCACGCACTTGTACCAACTTTCATGTTTAACATTTATTCACAAGTGCATAAAACAGTTTTTTAAATCTCTTAGATCCTTTCAGTATTTGAGTCAGATGTCCTAAATATGTCGTTCCCATATACTGTATTCCATTAATGGCAAGAATCATTTCATTGCAGTGATATCCCCTCATGGTGTATAAAACTTTATTTTCTTGATCTGTTGATGTCTTTCCAGACAAATCAACAGAAAGAGAGAGAGACATGTGCTCGACTGATAAGAGAAGGGAAAGGTGGAAGACAGATCAAGGAAGTGTAGGTTTATTTACAGCTCTGCAGGAGTAGGAATGGGCTCACAGACCAGCTGCACCGTGTGGGGAGCGTTAGAACAGGAGTTAAAATGGAGAAGGGAGGGAGGGAGAGAGAGAGAGAGAGAGGAGTCAGAGCAGAGATCAGCTCTTGTTCCCCAGACTCGGCTTCAAAGTCCTGCAAACTCAGCAGGGGGGCAGAGCCACAAATATGGATCCCAAACTCGGCCACAGACGGACATCCCCCCCTGCATCCATTCTGTATTCTGTATTTCAACACAGACGGAGATAAACACCCGATCACTGTGAAGGTGCAGACACAGCTTGGGGTTGCAGACACAGAGAAAGCAGAGATGTCTGTTGAGTCTATAAAACTAATGCAGCCTGGGTGAAGAAGAAAAGGAGGTTTGAGGGAGCAAGGTGAAAAATTTGTGTTTGTGTCATCAAGTGTTATTACATGACTTTGTGAATACTTGATTCTTATTGCTCATTACACAACTTTTCATCACAAAGACCCAGCTACAACAAGCTATTGTTCAGAAAAAGGGCTTCAGTTACAGACTCTGGAGGACTGAATTAAATCAAATTAATGTCTGGTTAACCCTGGTTTGTTTATGATGAAAAACAAACAGATGGTTACAGCAGAGGAAAAGCAGGAGAGGTTAGACATACGAAAACTGAAGGCAAGGACAGAGAACTGAAGATTCAGCATAAACTCTTAAGAAAAAGTTACAGTGGTAAGACAGAAAAGCCTTCCTTGATTGATTTCCTATTCTGATTGTTGTACTTTTGCCATTGTGAGCATGCTATGTAACAATACACTTTACTGTGTTGTTGACTGCAGACAAAATTAGCAGCTAAAAAGTTACTTTGTGGTCAACACCGACAACAAACATTCCCTACACAACTATTTATATATACAACTAAAAAACTGAGCCAGAGCAGTGGACGTTTGAGAAACTCTAATAATTGCTCTCTCTCTTTTTTTTTTTTTTTTGTGGCTTGTCTCTTTCACTTCAGTGCAAAAATTTCCCATAGTTCTTCACAACTTACGTCCCGAAAAATGTATATACAATAGAGAAAAGTCAAAGCAACATGATCCTGATCAAACAGCACATTTTGAAAAACTATCTGTTCTCCAACTCTTCAAGCTGTAGGGCTAGTAGTGAATCAGCTACTAGCCCTACAGCTGATCTAACGCAGAATGCTTAGGCCAGTTTTAGTCTGATTGGGCCGCACACACAGAAGAGAAAATTGAACCCCACCACATTATCAAGGTATTGATTTCTGTCAGACCAATGTTTTACCATGTTTTTTAATAGTCCATTTTCAGTGAGACTAACCCCCAATTTCCACCACATCCGGAATGGCTCCAATCCGAAACGGCTACGATTTTCGCCGTCCGCCAATTCCTACCGGATCCATTTGTGAGGCCTATTTTGTGGCGGATTACGGACAGCGGTAATCGTGAAAACTCACAAGAACTCGTTGATTCATGTGCAATCGTGCGATAATGAGTTGTCTCTATAAAGACAGACACACAACCATAAAAGCAGTAGATTTTGTCCTTCTACAGGAGGAAATCTACTTCTACACTTTAAAATCAGCATCCTTCTCATCCATGGTGTCATCGGGGTTAAATGAAGTCTAAAACCTTTCACTTGTTCATCCCCACCCGTTTGCATTGTGTGAAATACCATCCGCCTGAAACACGGAGTGTTTTATTTTGAAAAGAAGCCGGATGTTTTATATTGTGTCTGTGCCTGACTTCCTTTCCAGCACTGGTTAATCTGTGCTGAATTATTCCGGCTTGCCCCGGCATCTGGAAAAAATAGAACTCTTACAATCAACTTGAATGGTTACGATCAGCTGCGATCGGTGGATACAGCCTTTTCGTAGCTGTTTCGGATACGGTGGAAATTGGGAGTTAGGCTACGAATTGGTCTTTTTGAATGTCATGAAAATGTACTGACTGAAACTTGAGATATAAATCCAACTAATAACAGCGGCTGTTTATAAGGGCTTCATAAGTGTAACGGGGAACACAAACAGCCTCAGTGTTGTCCTGAAGACCAAGGTGGCTTTGTCTTTAGAAAGAAATATTAGCACACCAACCTTTGTGGCCATGTCTCAAAGCTTTTTTGCCATGATTTGGGGTATGAACATCTAACACTGTATCATTACTTGTATGTATTAAAGTACAGAGCTGTGTATACGTACTGTATGTCCCCCACAAGAGACTGGGATGTCTGTACCTTCTTAAATCCCTCATTTGAACCATGAGTGAGCACAATGCTTTAAACGGACATCAAAGTTAGACTGCAAAGCTTGTCCTGTGACAAAGTGGAGCTTGAATAGTTTTTCTTTATGACTTTTAGCTTTTTGAAAACTCACTCACCTCCTGAAATAGTGAAAGTGGAAAATATACAGAAAGGAATGCAAGGAATGCACTCTTCTTTAAAAAAATGTTTTATGGCTGCTTTTCATGAATTACATTAAGGAGACCAAGAGGGGACAAGTTATGTAAGGAAGTGGCTGCTTATACATGTTCAGCTGCAACATCAATTTGAGCAGCATTAGTGTAGCTGTATAGACAGGAGATACTCAAATTCATCTGTAAGAGACTGCTCTTCTTCCTATAAGGTTCTGCTGACATCTCTCCTGAATGGAGAATCACATTCCTGTCTAGTTTAGTCTCTATGATCATGATATCCAAGGCCGTGATGACAGTAGATAGGTGTATAACAGTTTTAATCCTTGCCCTCCAACTAGTATCTG